TATATATATATATATATATATATATACACACACACACACACCTATATACCACCACAACAATAACAAGTTGGCTTTTAAAAAGGAAAATGAGAAATAAACCTATTTTCCCCCCTCCACACAGGCAATTGAGGGGCAAAAAAAAGGAGTTTCCTGAGATATAAATATCCAGCCGCCCAAGAGAACGAAAACCTCTGCCCGCTCCCCAACCCTTTCCACACAGACACAGAAGGCGCGCGTTCAACGCGCGATAACCCCGGAGAAGCGGTTTGGGTCGTGAGGACTGGAATTCCTCACCTGGAAAAAGGGGGCTGAATGGAGGGAAGGCGGCCATCTCACTCACCGCTCCGACGGGAAGCCTCCGGGCCGAGAAGGAAGGCAGCAAGCGGGGCGGTGTCACGGTTGGGCCGCCTCCCGCTTCGCTTTCTTCCCTCCTCCGACGGGCCTGAGGGCGGTGGAAGCCCGGAGCCCCGGAAGCCCTCAGGCCCGGCGGAAAAGTCGAAAATAATGCCCTCATATTCTCCTCAGATGAGGCCTAGTCGTCTTTGGTTCACTGAAATGAGGCCTAGTTGTGCTTTATTCACTGAGGCCTAGTCGTATTTTAGTCACTGAAATGAGGCCTAATCGTATTTTAGTCACTGAGGCCTAGTCGTGTTTTCACTGGAATGAGGCCTAGTCGTGTTTTAGTCGCTGAAATGAGGCCTAGTCGTGTTTTATTCACTTGAGGGAGAAAGAGGACTTTTATTTACTGAGGGGAAAATAGAACGAGGCGTTGTATTTATTTGACATGCACTTCCACACTCGCCTGAAAGCGAGTCCGCTGGCGGCAACGCGGTGGACGCTCTACCACAGGAGGCGGTTTGAGGCCTACTTTTGCGGCCTTCGCCTCGCCTTTCCGAGTGAAACGGTTGCTATAACAACCCAGAGCCATCCGGATTGGCCCAGGGGCCTACAAAGCCAGCCCCTCCACTGAGGTTTTTCCTTTTTTTACACCGGAAGTACTCTAACCGTGGTGACCTCCCCGCTCTTTTCTTTTTCCCTTCATTCCCGCCAATAAAAAGCCCTACTTTGGTCCTAATTTTGGACTTCAACTCCCAGGAGCCGCAGCCATATTGACCAACCGACAGGAATTCTGGGAGCTGTAGTCTAAAAAAGAAAACCTGGTAGCATGAGAATCTCCGCATCGGCTTTATTTTATTTTCAGCCAATCAGGATTGTTGGCTATATTCGGTTGGAGGGGGGGAAAAAGAAAGGAATCCGATTGGCTGGCTGAGTGAGTCACGGGAGGACGCACGTATTTTTTCAATACGACGTCTTCTCAACCAATAGGAGAAGAGCGCGGAGCTCTGGACCAATGTCTTTCTTCCGCAGGGCGGGAGGAAATGTTTCCCAGCCAATGACAAGTGAGGATGACGGCGGTGCGCGTGCATCAGCGTCCGTGCGTCCCTCCTGAGAGCGTGCGTGCGTGCTTGCGTGTGTGACGCACTTTGGGCCCTCTTTCCCCCGGTCTGGACCTCTCGCGTGAGGAGAACGTAGCTGCCGCCGCCCCCGCTCCGTTGTCGTCTGAGGCGTCGCTGTTGTGGAGCTTCCGCCGCCGCCGGCCGGGAACCCGCTTCGTGGTGCGGGAGGAGCGGGGCCCAGCGGGGCCGCCCTCCGCCTCCAGGCCCAGCGCAGCCCCGAGAAGCCGGTAAAGCCCGCGGCGGGCGGTGCCTGAGGAGAAATGGGAATGGGCGGGAAACGGCGGAGGGCGCCTGAGTCGCCTCAGCAGCAACCCTCTGACCTGGGAAGCTCAGCAGGGTCGGCCCTGGTCAGCCTTCGGGTGGGAGACCGAGAGGGACGCCGGGCGGGGTAGGCCTGAAACACGCTGCCGCTGGAATAATCCGCTTTGAGACCGCTTTAAACTGCCCTGGCTCAATTCTAGGGAGACCTAGGAACTGTAGCGTTTGTTTAAAAAGTAATTTATTTATTTTTTATCCACGGTTTTCATGTATTACGCACGCTACCTAAAAACATTTAAGCACAATACGCCTAACGTACGCGCTAAATATACTTTTCAGTGTGTTTTATATTCATTTAAATACTGGAATAATCCTGTGTCCACTTCTGGGCGCCACAATTCAAAAAGGATGTTGAGAAGGTGGAGCAATGTCCAGAGGAGGGTGACCAAAATGGTGGAAGGTCTGGAAACCATGAAGCCCTATGAGGAGAGACTAAGGGCCTTTGCAGACTGCCAGAATTAGTGCAAATTGAGTCCACTTTTAGGGTTAGGGAATCATGGGAACTGTAGTTTATTGTGGCACCAGAGCTCTCTGACAGAGAAGGCTCAATGTCGCAGAAAAAAACAATTCCCATGATTCCTTAGCACGAACCCTAACCCTAGAAGTGGACTCAATTTGCACTACTCCTGGCAGTCTGCAAAGGCCCTTAGGGAGCTGGGTCTGTTTAGCCTGGAGGAGAGGAAGTTTAAGAGGCGTTATGATAGCCCTCTTTAAATATTTGAAGGAATGCCATATTGAGAATGGAGCAAGCTTGTTTTTTTGCTGCTCCAGAGAATAGGACTCAGAACAAAGGATGCAAGCTCCAGGAAAAGAGATTCCACCTCAACATTAAGAGGAACTTCTTGGCAGTAAGAACTCTTCAGCAGTGGAAGATGCTGCTGCCTTGGAGATTTTGGTGGAGTCTCCTTCTTTGGAGGTCTTTAAAAAGAGGCTGGAAGGGCGTCTGTCACAGGGAAGGCTTTGATTGGGAGTTCCTGCATGGCCGAATGGGGTTGGACTGGATGGCCCTTGAGGTCTCTTCCAACTCTAGCATTCTATGGACGTTATCACACGGGGCTCAATCCAAACAGAATCCAAACGAAATGGCGAATGAATCCGGATTATTTGCCCGTGTTTCCACACGACGTCGCACAGAACCCCAACAGAAAGCGGAAAGAACCGAGATCTTTTGAATTTCGGTTTCTTCAGGAATTGCAATTGCGCGACGGAATCATTTCGCATTTACCGTAGGTCTGATAACCAAATACGTATTGTGGCGCATTTCCCCGCTGTTGCCATGGTTCCAGTGAGCATTCCTCTCTCTGCGCATGTGCAGGAGGCTCATTTCGGCTACATTTACGGGTTTTTTTCTCTTGTGTGTGCACACTCGATACACTTACTGTAAATGCGCAATGAAGGTAATGACGTATGCGGAAACAAGGGTTATTTCCCATTTATTTTCAGGATCCCTCATTTCCACTTTTATTTCCGCTTTCTGGCTCACGTGTGATAACGTCCTATGAAAGTCCGTCTAAAGTGATTTTAGAAAATACATAAAGTTCTTTGTGTCTTGATAACTCTTGGACCCAACTCGCTTTCTTTCCTTTCCTCCTTCTATTCCTTTTATATCCTTCTCTTGACCTAACTTATTTCCTTCTCTTTATTTCCTTCCCTTCGCTTTATATCCATTTCTGTCTACTTCTCCTTTCCTTATAACTCTTTTTAACTGCCTCCTGTGGTATCCTCAGATTTGATAGCCTTTTGGCTGAAGAGCGGGTTATAAACACTTCATAATAATAATAATAATACCTTTTTATCCCCTCCTCTCTTCTTTAGTTTCGTGAGACATTGAGCTGCCTTCTCTGTCAGAGAGAGCTTGGCCGCCACAATAAACAACAATTCCCAGGATTCCCTAGCACTGAGCCAGGGCAGTTAAAGCGGTCTCAAACTGGGTTATTCCTGCAGTGTGGATTGGACCTTTAGTTCCCTTGCAACAGATATGTTTTTAGGTTGCTTTTAGTTTTATTGATAGCATAATTATCTTTTTATATATGAG